GCAATAAAATGAATGTCATACTAGTTGTCAAAATCCTTTGCTGGATGTTCATTAGTTTTTCGTCGTAGAAGATACAACAGCAAAGTGATTTCTTATGACAGATAGACATCATTGCTGAAAATTGGATTCTGTGTTTTAATCTAAGATAAGAAAATGTCAGCCCACAGTAAGCGACGACCTTAAATTCGTGTAGAATACCATGGAAAAAATGCAGGCGTTGATGTGTGGTAGGATGTCTATCCGGTCTTAATGGTTACTACAGAACGCCGTAGTGTTCGATCCGGAAATTAGCACAAGTCATGTGAAAAGGCGACCTAAAAAAGTTGTGAATGGAGCACCGTTCTTTATCCACCATTACCACGCATGTCATAAAAAAGGTTGATTGACACAAAGCTGGTTTAAGACACGAAGGAAATCTTGGGAACTTCTTCTTATTTTTTTTACGAGTGTTCTTGCTCTTTGCTCACTTATTCCTCAAATACTGTACGTAATGTTCGACACTTTTTATCTCTGTCAGCCTTTTCTTGTGTACAAGTTTTTCCAGTGAGAAACGTTTTACGGCCAATGTTCTGTTGGCCACTGTTGACTTTTTTGTTATCCTAGTGTACACAAAAAAGTATAAAAAGGAACGTTTGTCTTCATCGGGAGTGTCAAGTGGAAACGTTCATTTCTGCCTCTGTTCATATCTTTTTTGTTGTATTCTTCTCTTTCCGTCTTGGTTTTCACATTGCATCTGTGATTTTTTCAACTAATAGTAGTAGTAATAGTAATAATGACAATAGTAATAAGATTTTGGGTACTTGTAGTGAAACTGTCTGTACTGTAACTCGGCTAATCATCCAGTAACTCGAACCACCACCAGTGAAGTGCCTGTTCATCTCCATCAAGCGCCGGAGTCCCCAGGTGTGCTTGGCTCGATCAACGGTAACAAAGAACTTCACACTATGGCGTTTTTCCTATTCTTACTACTTTTGCTGAAAGGGTAGCTAAAAGGTTCTGCAATAGAATGGCTTTACTCTTAGCTGAGCTAATAAATGGGAATTTTCCTATTTTCCTAGAAATAACTGGAATGAGCTCGTACTGCACATGGAAGTTCGACAATCAGAAAGACCTAGCGGTTACGATTAAGCAGTAAACCATTATGTGGAATGGTAATAATGTTACTAATAGAACTGGCAGTAATAGTATTATTCCGAGAAGATATACGAGTAATAATAGTTTGCATTAATTTCGTTTTCCATTCACCTTGTTTAGCTCACTCCATTATGGTCCATTAACCAGAATTTTATGACGATGTTCAAATCACTCGTAAATCGTCTTGGCTGTATTTGGAAATTGTAAAGGAAATGCATTTCATCTGGTTGACAATGGGAAAGGAAGTGAATGGTCATTTTTAGATGGCTTTAAACGCGAGGGTTATGGGTTAGTCCTAGATGTGAGGCGACGACGGTTCTAAAACTCAGAGTGACGGTGCTATGAGAACGATTTGAATAGTAATGGTGAACTGAAATGAACTGGAGCGGTAGAAATATCACACTTATTAGATACGGATGAGATTTTATTCTGTATGTAAAGAGTTTTTGGCATGAAAAACCTCATAACCGGAATATCCATTTTTGCTCTGATATTCGAACTCAAGTCGAGAAAACGCATCGTCACTCTGGACTTCTTGATTATTCTCAGAAGGCAAGAGATCATCCACGTTTAAATAACTGCATTAAGGTCATCGTTCGCTTGTCTGGTCATTGCAAATTAGCCGAAACGTCGTTGAATCACATGTTCATCAGTCGTGATGAAAATGTCATATTTCCTTGGGTAGGAAAAGAACTTCTGTCAATTGTTTCAACATGGTAAACAGCATCACGTGTGCTCCCAATAAAATATTTACGACGGTACCGGTTTTTCTTGATGACTGACGACAACTTGTACTTCTAAACAGCGTACTTAAGAACCTGGTCCCATATATTTATAGAAGACTTCACTTGCTTACTTGGTCACTTTGGTTTACTTTCACCGCCTGTCCACCATTTTGAGACACGTCACGTAGTCGACAAGTCACGACGAAGTTCCCCATATAAAGTATATCCATAGGTACATTCGAATAAAGTACACAGTTGACTTTTTTATTTACTGCCTTTTACTAGCTTTCACGGCAGGGTATTATTTGTGAAACAACCACAGTGGTGCTGAGATATTTGCATAACTCCCCACCGCAGACACCTGCGGTGGGGAGTGAACGCGCTATTTTCCCTTCCGGGGAGTAACGTGCTCACCGCCACACCATGCGGGTCCTTCGCAAAGAATAAAGTGTTCGGTATTGATTAATCCCTGAAGATGGCTATTCTCCTTGATGAGTCTGGTACCAATTTGCCAACCCCGGAAGGATGAAATGCTTAGTAGGTAGAAGACGTGGGATCGAACCAGCAACTACTTGTATTCTGCAGAGCAACTCCAACCCCTGAGTTATACGTGACCCAAGCTTTCATAAAGTTGAAAAATGGTTACAAATCGTGCATTCTTATGCTGTGCTGAAATGCCCCAACCGTTTTTTGGGGTGGGGGTGGGGGGTTGTTGCTATTGCTACTCTATCGTGAATTTAATATGGAGAAATTTGTGGGTGTAGGCGATTGCTCATCATTCGATGCCTGGTGGTCCTTCCTATTTTCGATTCTAATGGTGACTATGATCGGCATAAGTCAAGTACATCGCCGTCTATTCTTTCGTGATTCCATGGGCCGTAAATCCGTACGGCTCGATAGATCCTCTCTCATAATATTCATAAAGGGAATCATTACATATTCATAACCATTTATAATGCTTAGACGTCCTGTCTAGGTGTCCAGTAAACCCGTCATGCATTCTTAGACCCGTTCCAGCTGTCCCCATTTTTTCCTCCATAAAACATTATTGAGCGAATGGAACAGCTTTTTTCCTTGTTTCTCGCTCCTTTTAAAAAGCGCCGTTGAGTTTCTACTTCTAAATCCCACTACCAACTTTCTATTAACCTCGGCACTGATCAAGTAATTCTTCGTATTCTTGTTGAGCAAACGCGAGGTGGTATTCTTTATTCACGAGCAAGCTGACGTTTCGGCGGATTTCGCCTTTTTCGGAACCTGGAAAGATCAAGTTGACAGCAATCTATTCGGCCAAAAACCTCTATAACCAAACAGAGGAAACGCTAAACCAAGATTTCAATTACATTGAACACAGAATAGCTTTGCACACTCACCACTTTCTGTGAGTCTTCCAATGAGTATGTCGCTTGGAGACCAACCGCACAGAATTCACATGGAAGTGTAATGTGCCCTTCCCATCAGAATAACAGACTTGTATACTTCTCAGTATCACACGTCATTATGAGGCATTCTTCACTGCGGTTCATTTCCGGATTCTTGGAATTAATCCAGAATTCCTCTAGAGTTTTGCGCGCTTGTGTTTTTGCTTGTGCGAGGATCGTAACCTTTACTTCAAACCCTTCTCCGTTATGTCTCTGCGTCCTATGCGTAATGGAGTATTTGATTTAAGTTTACCGACTAGGTGTTCTTTTATGCGGACATAGAGTGGTCTACCCGTTTCGCCAATGTATTCGTCCCCGTACGCTTTACAAGATCAGATAGACTGTACCCGAGTTCATGCAATCACCGTCTCTACCATTGGGGCAAATTATGCAATTTTGCGTTGCTCATAGACGGTCATATAGGCGGTTACGAACTAGCTGGCGCCTAAGAGTAGTCGGTGGCACTTCAACCACGTTTGCCGAATTCTCTAGACTAGCCCTTCCTAAGCAGCGTTTTATAGCTGCACTTACATCATTTGAGATGAAGGATAGGATAAACGGGACCTTTTTATCGCTAGAGTTGTCGTTTGGGGGCTTAGAATTTTCCTTATCCCTATCCCGAGCTACAGTTTCGTAGCCATTAGAAATCGCTATTTGCCGTGCTAAGTTCCGGGACTCCTCTCTCTGCTCTCTTCCCGTGCACACGTTGGTTGCTGTTCGAAACATGTTTCTTACAAACGCCCTTTTCGTGTGAGAGAGGTGAGAGGAGAGGCAATGAACCAGGATGTTTTTACTACTTGGCTTTCTGTACCATTTCGTAATGTAGCCATTTTCTGACAGGTTAATTTGGACATTCGGGGATGGAAGCCAGTTTTCTTTCTGTTTCTCTCGGGTGAACTTGATCTACTCTGACTGTTGACACTGTTGACCGATTGTTTCTTCGTTTCAGAAACAATATTTTAAGCAAAATTTCTACTTTTGTGGAGTTACTAAACTTATAAGGAGGTTTTACTTTGTCGTTGAGCAGGTTTTCATTTACAGAGAAGACAGCGAGTCGGTCACGTATGTCCTCCGAAGCCATTCGGACGGTGACCACCGTCGATCGCACTTCGCTCGTCGAAAAACTCATGCAGGTATGTTCTCGTTCGATTATTCGAATGTTCGATCGAATATTTGAAATTGTCCTTTTGTATTTAGTCCATTTCACAGCAAAACTTGGTTTACTGCCGGAAAAAAGCGTTTCCTCAATCCTAAAAAAAATTGACATGAGAATGGCCCTTCTACACTTCTATTATACCCTTGCCTTTCTAATCCTTTGGCTATGGCTATGGCTATGATATTATTATTAATTGCAATATTTTTACTTAACCGATTTGCGATAGCCTTGGCTTTTCGACAACAGGTGGACGAACTCTCGTTAGTTCAATTGCTTTGGTGTTGGAAATACGAACTTCAACGAAATAGGAGTGGAAAATTACAGTCCAGTTCTCAGAAAAATCGGATTTTCATATTAGTAGGGTAAAAAAAACTTGTGTGTGATTGAATAAATTTGTTTGTTTTGTTGTTTTTTTATCTAAATTAATGAAGTCCGCTATGAACTGAAATATGTCAGCCCGAAGTTTAACATCACATTCGGACTCTATGCACTGAAATCGATGCATGCAGTCGTGGACGGGTTATTTATGTTCCGACACCGTAGTTGTGTAATGTGGTCAAAAGTGAAATGCTGTCCGATTTGACTGGAAGGTTTTCGTTGACCCAAATAAACTAACTGTTAACCATTAGGACGCAAATCAGCGAACTCTCGCGTTTTGGAGTAGGCTCTGTTTCGAATCTTCATAAAAGTTTTACTGTGACGATGATAGTGGCGAATTGAAATCTACTCATTAACTAAAATTTCAGGAATGAAAGCAATACTGTTTTCAGAAAGATCGCGACCTCGAAGTTGCGGCGAAACTCGGGCAGGCATTACTGGAGCAGAACAAGGACTTACAGCAACGGTAAGTGTTTTTTGTATTTAACTCCTCAACTTTCTTTGAAACCTCCCAACGGTTTACCGCCTCACCGTGTCTGGGAGGTGTTCCTGAGTGTCGGACTGCGATGTACAGCGGGGGATTCGTCTCCATGGCAGGGTCTTTCAAGCTGGGAAGCAGCCCGGCGTTTCCATCAGGAAGCCTAGCTAATATTAAACCAATACCAAGATCCACCACCGTCTTAGTATCAAAGTTGCATGGTGGAAAATCTTCCTCTGATCCACAAGGGCTGCGACTATCTGTCATGGTGACGACCTGGGGTAGGCTTTAGCCACACTGTCCTCGGGATTCCAGGGAACCACAATGGCTTAACCAGCGAATCTCCGAAAAATGGTGATTATGCTGGGGCCCGCACGACTATTGAGGACGAGCCGTTCAAGTATCAAGTATTATCTTTGAAAAGTGGAAACATGTTATTTACCACTTACGATTTAAAGTCTCTTTCCTCGGTTTGTTTGAAACCGTGTCCAGCTATCCCTTTTCACTTCTTGTTAAATCGGAAAAAATCCGAAATTCTAGTTGACAAATTCTACTTGACACGTCAATAAAAGAAGAAAATGAGAATTGGATAAAAATTCGAACTCGTTTCAGAGGAAAATAGTTTTCATTTCCGCTGTTCTTGTTTTCTTCACTGTTTTCTTCGTTTTTCATATCTTTCTCTTTCTTCAGAACTGAATTTCTCGAAGAGAGCTTAGCGAAAAGCTCCGAGGAAATGGTGCAATTGAAGCACGAACTTGACAGGAAGGCTGAACTGCTACGAGTGTACTGCCACTACGATGATGACGGGTTTACTTGGTAAACGTTTCTCTTTATCATAAATTTTTCGTTATTGGAATGCTTTATTTCCATGAATTGTTCAAGATTTAACAGTTTTTATTTGACTAGTATGTTGCGAGTTGGTCCAATTTTTTCTCCTTAGAACTAGCCATGTTTGGGAATTACCGCGCTCGTTAACCCTTCTGAATGGAATGCAAGCTGAAGCGACTAGTTTTTTTCGACGACGCTGTCAATTTCTGGAATTAGTTTACTTTTAGACAGCTTTCAGGATATGGAAATTGGACTCGTTTTTATCTTAATTGATCTAATCATACTTCCTGCTCCATTGATTATATTTAGACTGAATTATACCCTTTCTTTAAAATTTTTATTTTTTAACTGTTGAAGTTTTTCGTCTCAATTATGCTACTTACTCGATCATTATTAAACTGAGTGAAAAGAACTTTTCTACTCAATTCAAGCATTGGATAGTGGTATCTAGGTTGATGGTATCCATGGAAATATGTGACCAATCACATGTAGCGCTGTAGTGAAGAGTACCTGCAATACAAAGGTGGTCTTTCTTTCGATCTGTCACGTTATAACCAAGCCTTGCATCCCTTCGATGTTGGCAGATTGCTTCAAGACTTGTACAGGAGGGTAAAAACGCTGACTTGATACATCGCTAGACCACCTCCAGTAATAGTGTACACGAAGAACGTGTTCAATCACCTTTACGATACTTAACTGTCTGGAATATATAGCGCATCTCTAGAATGTTAGTCAGCACTGAGCATTTTTCACGCAATATACCACCGTACTCCACATTAGTATGATAGCAGTGAAAGTAGACCTATACAGTAAGGTGTGGGAACCAGTCGATCGTACAAATCATCGTTTCTGCCTTCATGGTTAATGGGGGTTTTGGCACGATAGCCTCGAACTTAGGAATGTGAACACACCAGTTGAGAGTCATTGCAATGAACCATTGTTTGAACCGTCTTCAGATTACAGTAATGTTTTGTATTCTGTACTATATACCGCAGTCACTTTTTATTTTTAAATATGTATCTTTGATGTTTACTTCCTCAGCGTTGTTCAGGTTCGTTTAGTGATTATCCTATCCATCGAGGGACTCGTGTGGCGCAGTGGTTGGAGCCGCCACCGCGACACACGTGGAATTGATCCCCGCGTCCATGGTCCACCAAGCCGTCCATCCCTCTGGGGTAGGCAAATTATTACCAGACTTGTCTGGGAGGATAGCAGCACTGGCTCGATACATCGGTAGGCCACCGCGAGTCATTGTAAAGGCCAGGTATGCATTCAATCACCTCCAACGATACCAAATGAAGTCGAATACATGACGCATGTCTCAGAGATTGTCTCAGGGAATACATGGCGCATGTCTCAGGGAGGGATAGACATGGTTGTCTCAGGGATCTCAGGGATTGATCAACACCGAGAGCTTTATCCTTTATCCTACCCATCTTGATTAACTGGAGAGTATTTTCGAATTTTAAGTAACTCAAGTCTATTTAATCAGTCCTTTGAAATTTTGTAGAATATGTTCGATTGGAATAATTACTATATGGATCTCTGATGGGCGAAATTTTCAGCGAGATGGATGATTCTCTGAAGAAACGCTTGGAGAAAATCAAATTGGAGAATGTGCAACTGAAGCACGATGTAAACAGTTTTTCATTCTTGTTATTCTTCGACTTTTTTTCGTATTATATTGCCTGTTTGTTTCTTATGTTTTCGTTTTTGTTCCCGTCATTATCCTTTGTTCTTTTTGTTGAGAATCTTCCCTTAATGGTGTAACGTTTTTAAGGTTTTCTCTATGAGAAGAGAAATGGAAACGCAAATTGACCGTGACCGAAAACGCTATGAAGAAGTGTCACGTCAATTCGAACAGGCTCAACAACAGGTAATTGAAATGACCATGGTAACTTTAAAGGACGACTTTTTTCTCTGTTGCTCATAGTTACGGTGGAAATATATGCTTCAGTTTAGTGGAAACTTTGGAGGAAAATAGACACAAGAAAAGTCTTCGTATCCCAATACTTTTTTGATGGATAACATGTAATAAATCGATTTTATCCCCTCTACTTCCTTTTTTTGGTTTATTGGTTTCCATAGCAACTATTGCCGTTTTATTTCTCACACTATTGATCAATTGTAAGTTGCAAATGAAAGTCGGTGTGACTGCTTGCTATTTGTACATTCATTTTCGAATTGAAATCATAAAGAGAAATTTGAAAGAATAAACTAGAAAGAAGCGGGTTTTGTCCACAATAATTGGAACATTGTTCGAAACGGCTTACCACCTCATCGGGGTTGGCAGGTGTTCCTGGGCGTTAGAGTACGACATACAACGGAGGTTCATCGCCAGAAGGGCGCCCGAAACTAAGAATGAGTCCGACGTTTCCATCCGGTAAAACGGCTAAGAGTGAACGAATACCAGGAATCACCACTGTCCTAGTATCAAACTAGTCGCATGCTGGCCAATCTCCTTTTGATCCTCTAGGAGTGCGTGGGGTGGTGACGACTTGAGGAAGATTTCCGCTTTGATGACTTCGGAACTCCAGATAACCATAATGGCCAAACTAAGAAATATATGGAATGGAAATTACGTTGGGGGTCACACAACCAATGAAGACGAGCCATTCAAGTAATTCGGATGCAGTATTATGGTGATGTAGAATGGAAGAACTGCTTCACACTGCTGTTTTGACTATTTCCAACTAAAACATATTATTAGCAATACAGTGTTAATGATTATAACAACTGTTAGGCTTAGGATCTGATCTGCTGATTTTTCCAGATCACTGCACTTCATGCGCAAGTGGTTGAGAGAGGAGAGGATTACGCAACTCAGTCGCTGGTCGTTGAGAAACTTTTGCGTGAGATCTCACTGAAGTGTTGCCGAGAACGAGAGGTTCGGTTTCGCGTTACCGTATCTCAATCAATAGTATGTACTATCGTCATTCATTTTATCGTATACCCAAACTTAATTGTGGATAATAGATGGTCTTAATAGATGTGACTTTTAGCATCAAAGAAAGAATGAAGGAGACCTTTTGTTTTTGGTATTATTAAATGCCTAAATATCACTGTTGGTCTGCGAAATTCTTCGAGTATTAAAAAAATATCTGCTCATGGTATGTCTCAAATCAAGTCTCATCATTGACAAACTCTGGATTCTGCTCGAGGGCATATCCCATTTTTGAGTGACATTTTATACACTCTACCAATGAATGTATGATGAATAGTAGATTCTGTCTCGAAACACGAGATTTAGGAGTAAGTTTTATAATCGTTGCGAAAAATCGATAAAAATTTCTTTCTAAGTATATCTGTGAAATATAGTGGTCGATGAATTAATTATACTTGTACACGGTAGGCTGTAGCAGAAAGCCCTTATCCCGTTTAGAAAAATGAGGTCATATCCTCCTATTATGAATTTGCTGCCTTTCAAATTTATAATCCATTCATGGTAGGCTTATTCATTTCAACGCCATTGTTTCTGTTTCATTCGTGTTTATCTCCTCATCTCCTTTTCACTGTCTACATCTCTCCTACTGCCCTTCTTCATCTTTTCCTCTCAATTTTTGTGCCTTCATTTTCTCCATTCAGTTTCAGGGTTCTGTTTCTTTCTATCAGTTACTTTGTTCTACGTCTTGCTATACGGCGTACAACTCTTCTTGACTTATAGCTTTCCTATTCCTTCTAATCGTTTCCTTCATTTTTCTACCATTTTTCTTCTTTTTTTTCTGTCCAAATTACCATTCATTCATTGTCAACCCTGCTATTCAACTATAGGCGTGCCAGTTCAAACTGTCAATCAAAGTTAAATAAAAAAGTAATGGTACTTTTTATTCCTGTGTGCTCTTCGGTATTTATCCGTATCAAAGTCGGATGCAAATCATATTATAAGGATAAAGGATAAGCAGCTCCTTAATCAGTTCATGACTCACGAAAATTACATGGTCGCGTTTGATCCTCACTCAATCCCATTTTCAGTGCAACTTAAGCAAGTGGCATGTAGGTGTGTGACTAAACGCCCAAGATCCCACACAGATGAGCGAAGGTATAAAGGATAAAAAAGAATAAAGCTGTCGGCGTTGATCAATTCCTGAGTGATGCTTCATAAATTCAACTTCACCAAGCATCGTTATAAGTGACTGATTGCGTATCTGCCCTACACATTGACTCGCCATTGCCTACCGATGTAGTGCTGCTATCCTCCCAGACAGCTCTTGTAGCAATTTGTCGACCCCGGAGGGATGGAAAGCTTGGTGAGGCTGGGTCGCGGGATCGAACCCATGTGTATTGCAGGACATCTCTAACTACTGCGCTGCATGTATACTAAGTCACAGTATAATTGAAGATCTCAGAACATAGGAAGACTCTAAGTCTCAAAAAGAGATAGAAGTCTAACATTTCCACGTGCCTAATCTTACTCTCAAAAAAATCGATGTAGTTCATTCGGTCCAACAGTTTCTATCATATGTTTTTTCACTGTTTCTTCGATTGGCCAATTAAGGCTCTAGCCACATAATATGCATGTTTTTTACAACAAACTTTTGTCGGATGGATAGTTTTTTTCTTGCTATTGTATTTTTATCAACCTCGTGTTCGGTTAGTAATCGAGGGATGTATTGATTAGCTTTTAGTTTTTATTTTGGTGATTCAGCATTCTACAGCCTATTCACCCTATCACATTTCCAGTTGACAGCTGAAAATGCAGATCTTAGCCGCCAAGTAGATGAGGCTCTACAACGACAAAACGAACTGGGCACACAAATGAAGGAACTTCAGGTAGACTTTGGCAGCATGAATTCATAGACGCATTAATTATTAGTAATACGGAAATATCTGCCTAAAATCAGACAAAATGCAATGCAGACATTTTTTTTCTCCGATCTTTGTTTTCGTTCTTGGCATTGTTCTCACTTTGTCAAATTGCAGTATTCGTTTTGTTTTTAAGCTTAAATACAAATCCGTCCTCGATGTCCTATGAATGCCATTAGTATAGGAGGAATAGGAAGAAGAGAATTAAAACATGTTGAATGAGACCCGTTTCTCATGATACTCGTCCTGAATTGTGCGCACCGTCCCGGACAGAGTGAAATTTTACGACTAATTCGTAGTTGCTTTTCAGGAGCGATACACCGAATTGAGAAGTATGTTTTGCGATGCGGAAGAGGAACTGTCACGTTTCCGATCGGCACCACCAAAGCGAGCTGGCTCAATAGATTCGCTTTATGACTCGCTGGCTTCTGAGCTGGAGAACAGTGATAGCGGGTTCTCGACTACACCAGCGGCTAGCGCTAGAGCTGGAGAAGCACTTAATTTAAGATTGGAACTACAGCGAGCAGCAACTAGAACGATCAAAACCTCTCCGTCAAAAGAAGAAATTGACGTACCATCCACTGTGCTGGCAGAAGTGGCCCGTAAACGGATCACTATCGAACCTGTAGCACCTCCACAAACTCCGCAAAGTGAAGCAATGACTCCCACAGGAATCACTGAGGCTTCGAAGAAAAAAGTGGAATTGGTCAAAAAACGGACATGTGATGCAAGTACTTCATGTACAGAGCTAGCAGGAACGTCGCTCACTCCGGTGGCTACCTCTACTCCTGAAATCGAGCGTATCAAGGGAGTAGAAGGTATCCTACAGGTGATTTCACTGTTATACTGCACTGTCATGACGTCGTTTTTAGAACTGTAATCTCAGAATCATTACACTCGTGGAACTTTAGAAACTTTAGGAAGCTTTAAAGACTATTTCCCAAAACTGGCATTCGTTAACCTCGGAATTGGTCAGTAGTTCGTTGTATCCTTGTTAATCATGTATGAGGTTGTTACTGTGTTATTTATTCATAGTAGCTAACGTTTTGGCGGATCTCGCCTTCTTCAAAACCTGGAACGGTCACGTTGACTGAGACCTAGCCAGCCGAGCACCTCCACAACCTTAGCAGAATAACACGATTTCTAGATTTCAGTCTCACTGAAAAAAAAACGTGAAGACCAACCGCATAGAGTTCACATGGATAGGTAATGCGCCCCTCTCATGTTTACAGTGAATTCACGCGGGATAATAAGGCTTTTTTCTCTGCAAGTCATGTTTGGATTTAAATTTTTTGTCCCTTTTTTAAAAAGATATATCTCCCATGCTTATTTTTTTCTTTTGAGAAACGAGAATCGAAGGAGTGTACGTGAAGTCAGACACGAAGGAATGCTTTAAATTGGATACTAACACTGCTCTAAGAGTAATGCTAGGAGAAATCACATGCTTTCACTATCATCCACTGTTAACATGAATATGGTTGCCGAGTGCTGGGATTTGTAGCTCTTCCAACTGTTTTTCACCACGCGCCCAATGATGCGTACGGGTTGGCGAGCACTTCCAAACACTCACATCTCGTTCCTTCTGATTCTAATGGGTTTTCAAGAATTTTCCCACACTTAACCGACGGCGTATCCCGTACTCCATCAGATGAACAATGCACATTAAACCCTACCGAAATGAAAGTACATGTATGTATGGTGGCCAGCAGATAGCATGACGTATTTCGCAAGTTTTGCGTTTGCACGCAAAAATGTCGAATGACTGTAATAACATCAGCGCTCCTATTTATAAAAATCACTATCAATCGTGGAATGTTTGATAGTTGTTTACGTATGCCATAGAAGTACTGCATAATTTCAAATGAATACTCAAAAATTCCTTCTTCCTAAATTCCACTAATATCGGATGAAGCCAGCTAATGTAGTCTGCCAGAGAAATTAGTAGCACTAGAACGCCGTGATAAAGAACATACAAAGAGCTTTTAGGCAGTATATAAACATGTAAAAGAACAAAATAAAATGCGCTAACAAGTATCTTTTTTATTCTAAAAATATTCTGGTCAGTAAAAATGAGCGGTTTTGGTTTACTATGGTTCTTAGCCGAAGAAAATGATTGAAAAACGTTGACGTACCTTATAAACGTCGTTAAATTATGAGTACTGTAATTATAATACATAAAGGTAAAATACTATTAAATTCTAAGCTCGTCAGAGAAAACACAGTTCTTTCAACACATACCGGACCAAGTGTATCGAAATGGATTCATCGCTGTTCAGTGTTCTGCGGAGGTTTTCCACCGCAGTTTTTGTATTCTATCGATAGGAGTAGTCTACAAAAAACTCCTGGACGAGTTGATTTTACGGCAAGGAACTATTGCTGTTTAATAGAGTCGGCGCTATCGCGAGTATGGTCTGTGAAGATGTGCTTGAAGGACCATATTCATATAAATGCTCTGCTTGAACAATGAGATTCGATCCTTACGGACAGCTTTTCGCTGTGATAAGATGATGTAAAGATCGACGTTCACTGAGCACGTGTTTATCATTGGGGTTCAACATAATCTGTCCTTAGGAAGCATATATATACATATATATATATATATATATATATATATATATATATATCAGCGTATAATTCAGCAATAACTACTAATAACACTGACAAGTGTATTTTTGGCTGCAATAATGATCGATGGAAGTTATTTATAGATTCTTCATCAGAGAGCCGAAGGCGGCTACGACACTCCTTTATGACTTTCAGCCTTTACCTATAGTCAATATTCAACGTAAAAAACCTGTAGTTGTTGCTTACAACAATAATTTTCAAGTAGAAGATCGTGTCGTGAAATGCCTTTCTTCATCCACATCATTGGAAGCATTGAAAGTCGCGATCCTCACTCGGGAACCGAAAGCTTCAGAGCGCAAAACTCGCTAAACATTTTGAATAGATTCCAAGAATCCCAAGGCAAACGTCAAAGAGAAATGCTTTGTTAAATCTCAGGCTGCTATTTTTTCGTAAGAAGGGTACATTGTCTATTTGTGTGAACTCTGCGCGGATGGAAGTGGGGGACTCATAGAAAGCGGTGAGGGCGAGGAGAAGCTGTTTTGTTTCTAATAAGATTGGAGTTTAATTATCCTAATTTCTAAATGTTATACCTTTTTGCTTTCTGCCTACTATAATTTCGCGGCAGAGTACTAAGCGAAATACAACCACAGCGTTGCTGAGATATTTGCAAAACTCTGGACCGCAGGTGTCTATGGTGTGGAACGAACGCGCTATTGTCCTTTCCGGGAGTAACGCGTTCACCACCACACCATGCGGGTCCTTCGTTTCGCCTGTCTATCTTAATTTTTGTTTTCTGATGTAGTAGAAATGTTTAACAGACTGCATTGCAGTTTGTTCGACCTTTCCAGGTTCTGATGAAAGCAGAATTGGCCGAAACGTTAGCTACTATTAATAAATAGTTGTAATAATAAGTTCGTCTGTGCTTATAACAAAAATAGCGAATTATCTAAAAGCTGACCGAGTTAAGGCTGAACTAAAGTACCTGCATGTTAACTTCTCGAACCAGATTAATAGATGGAATTCTTCCATCTGTTGTTGCAGCTATCGGAGCTGCGTTCGATTTGCTGCACACCGCTGCGGGGTTCGTCAACGGTTTTCAAACGATCATTCCATTCTTCATTTCGTCTCTCTCCACATTCACCAACGACTCCGGCAAAGAAATGCTCATCAGATGATCCGCTTGAGAACTACGTAGCGCCGAAAATGGGAGAGCCTGGTGTGCCTGGCACTCGTGATTTGAACTATTCGCTAAGGGTGCTCAAAGCGCGTCGAAAGGTATGTTTTATTTTTCATAGACGAATTCAGTGGTTTTGATGACCCAACGAAATAATCCGGATTTGTTTGACTTTTTAACGGTCGCCTAACTTCATTAACTCTTTCTACTAAATAACCTCTTAGTTTCGGCTACAGCTTGCTTAATTTCTATGATCCATGACCAGAAGCTGGAAATTTGCAGTGTTCTAGCTCAATAAAATCGTGAAGGCTCATAAGAAATCCACATGCTTCCAGATTTTCTGTCGTGAATTTCTTTTTCGTCTTGTGTCTTTCGTTTATCTGTGTTTTGTGAATTTTTGAGTTCTTAGAGAGGCGCTGAAACTGCTTTCGTGTCTGATTTGCATCCCGTCGTAAAAAATTCTGTTCCACGACGGTTACTGCTGGTGTTGGTCTATATTGAGCCGTAATGGTCTCAACTGATCTGCCATCTGTCTATCCTGATCACCATTAATTCTTCTGTTTATTAGTTTAGTCCATTTTTCGCTCCTTATCTCAATAATTTGGGTTTGAGAAAACGCCAGAGCGCTCTGCTTGGTTAAGAAGTTAGTCTTTTTGAGAAAAAAGTAAAAAAGAATAGAAGTCGAAATAGAGCAATGTAGTGGGTTTTCCTTTCTGAGCAATTAGGAATCTGGCATTGCCTTTATCTATGGGCTTTAGAGAACTTGTACCTCAGCATTTTAAGTTGAAACGAAAGGAAATGTTTTCACATATTCTATTTGTACTGTGTATTCATGCTTGACACTCCTTAGATATTTTTGACATTCCTACTGAATCATCACTCGTCATTTTAGTGAGTAATCAAGCATGACAAACGGTCCGGTAATGGGTTTTATGACTCATGAAACAAAGAAGAAGAACGAAAGTAACATCATATCAACGATCACACGTCATTTGACAGAACCGTTAAAAACAATGGAATGATTAGGAAGGCAATAATAGTTAAATAATTGGTTAAAAGATGAGAAAGTATGACATTTTTACCATATTTCGAATTGGTTCTAGTGAATATTGGAAGTAGCTGCCATTAACATTTAGAATGCAACGCCTGAAGACATGCGCTATGAATCAGAACCAATTCATATCGACCAACCTGACTACCTGAACCCACGGCTCATATTTAGCCTATTAGTATAACAGTTTTTCCTACTATGTATATACAAAGCCAGTTAATCGCTAAGGAACACTACGGGTATCCATACGGTACACAGAAATCTTACTATCTCTTTCTTTTATAAAACTTCCTATTTTTGTAGCGTGCTCTCCAGGAACAAGGCGCGTATGGCGCAGTAGTTGGATGCGTCCTGCAACACACACGTGAAATCGATCCTCGCGCCCATACCCAATGAAGCCTCCTATGCCTCCGGGGTCGCAAATTGGTACCCGACTTATCTGGGAGGATAGCAGCACTGGCTCGGTACACATGTAGGCCACCGCAAGTGATTGTAAAGGCCAGATATGCATTCGTTCACCTCCAAACGATGCTTAATGAAGTCGCATGCATGGCACATCCCTCAGGGGTTGATCAACGCCGAGAGCTTACTCCTTTTATCTTTATCCTGTCCAGGAACAGTCTTTTTGATTTGCCGAACAAACTCATCCGAAAGTGCACTCTGTATTTTATGAATTGAAAAGGATAGGTGTTCTTGGCCGACCCCTAGTGCAAGATCTGTATTGGATAAGCTGATTCCTCTACTTGAATAATCAACGACTTAAAACAATGTGGTGCGATTCATGAACAGTGAATTGTTCTCAGGCTTTAACTTATTGTTTTCTGTCTACACTTTTTAATGGCAGGGTATATTGCGAAATATAAATTCAGTGATGCTGAGATATTTGCAAAACTCCGGACCGCAGGTGTCTGCGGTGGGGAACGAACGCGCTATTGTCCTTTCCGTTCTCATGCTGTTTAGATGAGTAAAACTGCATCTATAGAAAGAAAGTCGATGCCTTAGATGTTTTCACTAGTTCTTTTTAATACTACTTTGCTTCTTGTCAATTAAGAATTCCGGCTTGTTTTAGTATTCTATATATTTTTGATGGATATTTCATGTAAACATCAATCGCGATATTTTATTCTATGTTCACTTATGACAATAGACAGTAAGAAGCATGCACGAAACAGAATAATGGCGATCAGGCAGAGAAAAACGAGCTCAGATATTGTCCATCATTTCCATCTAATCATCAGTAACGTGGAGATGTGTAATGAAATGTCGATGTGACAATGCATGCTGTGATCTTCAGACCACTTCTTGCTCGTCATCTGTCCCACTCCGCTCTCTTTCACCCATATTCCAATCAGCAGGATCGACGCCTCCCCATCCTGAGCTTCATTTACCACAGGTCGGTACCGATCTTCTAACTGATACAATTTAGGTGGAACAAGAGTACGCCATGTTTCTGCATCGCAAAGGTCTTCCGCCTAGTTCTTTTTTTGACGAACAATCGGTATGAGCCTATCTATCACTTGTCATTTTATCATTACCGTTATCAGTATCGAGTTATCGATTCTGGTTCGTCAAAATCCGAAGACAATTTATTATTACAAACAACATTTTCTAGTTCAGTTCCATGTTGTAAAGATTATGTGACCACTCAAATGCGTTTCTTGTTGAGCACTGATACATACAATCACTCACTATTAAAGAGCTGAAAACTCGCTGAATGTTCCACGTCTCAAATCTTTTTTTCCGTAAATGGGGCCCTAGTATTGGTTTGTGTTGAATTTTTGCTTTTAAAAAATACAAATCCCGATGGAATATATTTCCACAATCATTTTTCGGAACAAAACTATCCTCTGTAGCCTTCCATAATTTTCTCTCGTTTTAGAAACTTACAGGTGGCCGAATGAGTTACAAATAATATTCATGTACCAGACGAAACTCAGGCCATCATCAGGTCACGTTATTTTCAGCGAAAGGGGTTACCAACACAAGAGAAATTGGTCTAGTTTGATAAGTGGATCGGGTACAGTAACATGTTTCAAAGTTATAGCGGAAACTTTGATTACCACTCAAATCAGGTCCGGTGTCGTTCATATTGGAAATTAGTTTCTATTGGTTTGAACTATTTTCTGGTCACTTCTGTCAAGGAAAAACAAAGTTCCACCACAAATAAAGTGATCCATTCAAAGAGATTTTGCTGGTAGTACTACTGCGGATGAGTTTTCGTCAACTATGAAAGCCGAGTTTCGTGCGTGATCGTTAATTTCGTTGAGTTCCGAACTTTAGTGATGTGTTAACATTGAAATTTTCATTGTAGGTGTAGAACTAAGAGCTTACGTTACGCGTTGGGCATCTGGTAATGGTTAATGTTGACCTGGTTATGAAGAGGTCGTAAACTCTAAGACGTGCCACACTTCCAAAATTCTTCACTAGCGAAATCCATTGTACAAACCTATTATACAGCCAAACCTTCACTTCCTAACAAACGTTGTTAAGGAAAAAAGTTGGTTGAAAATTAGAGAAATGATCTAAAGGTATAGCGAGTTTAAACCAAATGTAACACACATCATGGTATTTGAACAAAACTACCAATGATTGAATGAGATTTAGTCGTTTCAGAATGTGAAATGCGCAGAAGCAACAGATGAGTGGATTGATAGAAGCACGATTGTGGGTCAAGATCACCAAAGGTATCCCAAAACGCTCTATTCCAGACTTGTTACCAGTAATGAATAAAAGTTGTTGTTGCGTAGTTTTCTTTGGACAGTATTCTGATTAGAAAGAACATGACGATTATTACCAGAATGATGCTGAGCTATTTACAAAACACCGAACCGCTGGTGTCTGTGTTGGGGATCGAACTCGCTACTACTCTTTCCGGGGCTGATGCCTTCATCTCCACGCCGTGCGGGTTCTTAGCGGACCTCTGCGATCCGGAGTTTTGCAAATATCTCAGCATCATTGTGGTTATACTTCGCATCATACCCTGTCGTCAAAAAATAGGCAGTAAATAAAAAGTGGTTGCATAACAGTTGTTGGTAAAAATTCCAATATGATCAATGTTCGAGGAAATTCCCCACAAGATTTCGTGCTCTGTTTCAGGATGAGTAATGTTTATAGCGCTGGGTCACCCGTCGGCCTTGGAGCTCTTAAATCCTCATCCGATTTATCAGGGTTTTTATACAGATCCGAGGTACGGTATTGGTATTTAATGAATAATGAAAGAAATACAGATTTATGATTCTATGCGCATTTGTCTTTCTAAACCACATAAGTTCGGCTTTGTCGAATACAGGTTGAGAATTGTGTAAAACTTGACCACTAACAAGTTCGCTTTTAAAGTGACAAAGAACTGAAGCAAAACGGATTTATGAATTGAACTATCTTTTTGTAGCTGATAGAAAGGACTGTGTTATGCAGGAGAATTTTTTAAGGAAAACCTAAGCATTGTATTATCTCTCATAAAGTTCTGTAGTATTCGTAAGGGCAAATAAAAAAAAACCAACCAAAACCCATCCCGTAAAGGCTGTTACCCTGACACTCCAATTGATTCCTCATTCGTTGATTCATAAAGGATGCAAAAAAGTTGATTAGTTGGGCTGCTTGTATCCTTTCTATTCATTCTATCATTAAGATAATCATTCAACAAAACAGAACAGAGTTGTCTGAGAAAAAAACGCATTTTCATTAGAGTCCGTTAAAACTCTGAGCTTCGTCCTACAATCATTTCATCTCCATATATACGGAATATACTAGAAACTAGTCTTATTACTGTAGTAGTAGCAAATCTACGCATATAAGCGAATAAATTCTTCCGAGGATTTTCTTCAGTTCTTCCGTTATTGGTTCATCTCGATGAATCGGCTTAATAAGGAATGATTTTAAAAAAACAAGCTCTCGCCATAGCCATACATTGTTTCGGCTCACTGATTTGGAATATAGTCTGTTCTTTCTGCCGAGATTTTCCGAGGTCTTCTATTGATTGACTGATTCGGAGTTATTTCAGCTTAACACACCCATCGTTGAATCCCAGCGAATCCCTGGACTACGGTCGTCACCGTCGTCGTCACCGACGCTTTCTGCCGCCGGGTTACAGACGTTCGCGTCGTCCTTCTCGAAGTCGTTCGACGACGCGGTCACTGATAAAGGCATCCTGTTGCGTAGATTTTAAGTTTATATTGTCTTATTGAAAACTAAGGATTTTTATCGTGTCAACGGGTACTACTGCTCATTCTCATCTCGTATCGTTTAAGATCTTGGCAGTTTTGTATTGATATTTTCAGTTACTCTCACATCATCAAGTAATCTCTCAGATTAACTTATATTGAAAGGAGTGTGTATTTAATTATCATTATTGTTTTTACTAATTCATCTTGATGAGTCGGCTTAATGGGAATGGCTTAAGGAGAAAAGAAGCTCTCGTTATAGCCTTTCTTCGTTTTGCCCCACTGATTTCAAATGTAATTGTATGAGAAATTCTCTGACTGAGGATTTTGTTCGTAGATGAGAAAATATCCTAAAAACGCTTTATTGCAATGTGATAGGATAGAATAAAAGTTGCAGTATTTTTCGAAAATAGTATATTCTGAACCGCTAAGCATGTTATATTCTATTGCACGAACACATAGGGGAAAGAGCAAGAACAGACATGGAATCTACAACTGTTTAAGAGATGGAGACGTTTCTCATCCTCTGCCTGCTGAATAGAAACCCCTGGTTTGCAGGTATATAATTATAACGTTAGCAGATGGAAAAATTTTTAAATGGAAATGTGGACGATGTACTAGTGGAACTGAAAATTACTATACAAGTATCTCGTACAATGAAAGATTGCTTAAGAGAGATATTTGGCCAGTATGTGCTGGAAGAGTAGATAACGAATACTCAGGCAAGTCGTACTGTACAATTTTAGGAGAAAAGAACTGGAGGAAATGAAATCCTCAACGGAATCCCATTCGTATAATGCTGCTAAAACATATTTGTAAATGTGATATGATTATGATATCTATGATGATGCTTGGTACAACTGGGTGAGTCATCTCGTCAGGATCACGAGTTAACGAAATACGACGCATCTTGTCAACTCCACTGGTCATGAGTAGCCATTAATGGCGAATCTGTTATTACGCTTAGGTTGAAGACGAAGGATAGCTAAGCGACTGGAAAGGAACTGGTATTGAATCACAAGTTGGGTAATGAGGAGTGTCAACAAAGCCTATACCAGCGACACAACAGCTCTCCAAAAATTACAAGGCTCCTGCCATTTAATTGGCACGCATTCATCCTTTTGCTTTTTGTCTCGATCACATGCAATTTGATTCGACTCAGAGACCCAAGAAAAGCGTGAAGATCGCCGTGTGAGGGGCTTCTGGTATTATAGGACTATAGCAAGAAACAGTCTTCATGACGTGTTATCGATGTATTCGTTTGATTGATGCCTTGCAGAGTCCGAGATTTAATCTACTCTCGCAGTCTCTAATATCTGATATCGTAGACAAGAGCACCGTGTGGAAAATAGTGAGGATGGTTTACCTGTTGGAAAATTTGTTCTTTGCTGGAGTCCTGACGTACCTTGCTAGAGCGTTTCCGCATCTTTACGGCAGTTTGGAGCTGATACGAAGGGTCCTTAGGGTAGCCTTCTTGTGCTCATTCGAAAACGACATTTAGACCGAATATAAATACGAAATTAAAAGTGTAAAGCATTATAGCATTTTACGTTGATCAATTCTTAAGGGATGCCTCATGAATTCGACTCCGTCAACCATCGTTATAGGTGGTCTAATCAATATCTGGCCCATACAGTAACTTTCGGCAACCTGCCTTTGTGTGAAGTCAGTGCTGCTCTCCTCCTAGAACAAAGTCTGCTAGCAATTTGCAGAACTACGAACTATGGTTGGGACTTGCTCAAGCCGGGAAGATGGATCGAACCAAGGACCACATTGCATGGCAAGGAACCTCTACTCACTCCGTACACACACTCCTAGATATAGAAGTATCACCTGTATCACTTGCAGCTCCGTTGATCGTCGAGTGATTCAAGCGAGCGTCACTAATCCTTTTACTTCTTACTGTCGCATGCAAGAGTTGCCCACTGGATTCTCCTCACTCTAGGGCCTCGCTGACAGTCATGTCACTTTTCTAGAGTTTTCGTGAAGAACTATGACCTGATCTGAACTCTGATTGTCATCCTGCTGTGCGCTTGACATGCCAAGGAATTCAGCTGCTAGCGGCTATTGTCCATCAATTGTTCTTCAGTCGCTTCTCGCACCCGATGCACCTTATCATGAGCAATTAACCGTATAGAACAGCGCCTCCGGTAGTTCGGAGCTTTGCATCACCTCTCTCAACTGCTTGATACGGAATACTCCTAACACCGTCCTTTCGACTGCGTGTTCAACAGCGATGGTGATCCTCCATCCTGCTTACGCAGCGAAAAGGTTTCTGATGCATACATTACCGCAGGAAAAATTATGGAGTTCAAAAGGTGGGCACTGAATCTGATGTTCTTTGTTCTGTTCACTACATCCTCGACGCTCTCAAAAACTCCCCAAGGCGCTCCATCCCTCCTGTTCAACTCTGGAGCTGTCGTTGATCATGTTGATTTCCCAACTTAGATAGACGTAAATGGAGCATTTATTTCGTTGAACGTAAACGGGACATACGTAATTAATGCGTTCCTCAAGAACATCGTACTTCTGAGATTCAGTCGAAGACCATTCTTTCCACAGACTTTATCAAAGTCCGCAAGAACTTGCTCCGCCTAGATAATCCTTGATGCTATAAGGACGATGTCATCAGCAAAGCGAAGATGGTGTGACGGCTATCGATTTTCACTTCCATGTTGTCTCATTCCACTGTTCTCATGACGTTCTCGAAGGTGACAATTAATAATTTTGCCGAAATGATATGGCCTTTTCTAACCCCTCTTTTGACTTCGATGTTAAACCGTTGTAGAATGGTGATATTCCAGTTTTGAAATTTCCATATCGTTCACGAAGAACCCTTACATACTGACTAAGGACATTCCAGCTTATGGTGGTTTTGTGACTTCCTTTTTTTGAATCCAGCGTCCGAATTTAGCTATTTTCACGGTAAACTCCAATCTCACAAACCTCAAGTTTAAGATAAACGATCATACATCACCAGTGATGACCTTGAGGAATGCATGATCTTCTCGGGATAACTTCTCCAAGTTCATATAGAATTCTTCGGTTTCGTCTCTGTCACTGATTGGTACTAGTGCATGGACGACGAAAATTGTCAAATCCGGTATTGTTCCACATCTCTTCAACCGTAAAAGTCCGATCTGGGTTGTTAGCTGTTCGAACGAATAGATATTTATGGCGAAACTCGTGTTGACGAGAACAACGACGCCGCCAACTCTCTGACCGCCGCATGTTCCGAGGAACCATTCTTCCTCGGTGTCATAGACGGCGCTTGAATGAGTGGCGTCTTCTCGCCTTAGCCAGTCCGGTGACGTCGTACTTTATCATTCTAGCCTGCATGATGAGTTCTATGGAGGACTCAGATGCAACTGTGCGTGCACTGTAGATACGTATCGTCATCACAGTTCTGTAGATTTATGCAACTTAAAATGGCCCTGAAATTCTAGCAGTCTCTCTGTACTCGTCCTACCCAACGCTGCCGAATTGGGGGCACTTTCGGGGTCAGGGAAATGAGGCCCGTTTCTTCTACTGTTCTTAGCTTTTTGGTACCCACGTATAGCTTAGCTTTTTTAGCATATAGCTTTTTTAAAAAACTATGTGAAAAAATATGCCAATATGGGCGCTTGCAGTATTTGTGTTAGAATTCCGAACAACCTTTCTCCATAAATTCCCTCAAATTCCCTGAAAACCTGACATTCACACAATCAAGAAGTTTGAGTAACATTTCGGAAAAGTTACTGGGACGATTAGAGCTATAGAACGAAGTATCTCTCGTCTGTTCATCTTACTCTTTAGCGACTTCCGCTCCAACCATTGCACCAACTCGTGTACGAGTTTCCTTGGTAATAGACTGCTGTGCTCCCTTTAAATCTTATATAGAGCATGAAAACTGCCCCAGTTGTCACACTTGGACGATTTCATTACTTTTGTTATTTGGATATTGCCGCTTGTCCTGGCTCTTCTCAAGATTTGGCCACATCATACAAGTCTTTCACTTGTGTTACTTATCTGTCAGGATCTTAATGACTCATCACTTTGTATAACATAGTCCGTAGATTAACTATCGTGACATATATTCGTAGATAGAATATGCCTGGACATGTTTCAAGCGGAGCTGATTCCAACATCTACGCTCTGTGTCCAGCATGCAATGCTTTGCCATTGAACAGCACAGTGAGTGGATCTGTGTACTCTTTTAAATTTTTTCCTTAAATGCAAACACTTTGAAGAATTTCAACATATTGTTTACTGCCTACTCTTTTTAATGGCAGGTTCAATTGAAGCTATATTTCACAATATATACCCTGCCGTTACAAAGAGTAGGCAGTAAATAATAAGTTAAAATTGTGATTATAACTGCGGCCTCAGCTTAACTGGTTTCGGTGCCGATTTGGGCTCCCTAGATCAATCCCGCTGACGGGTGATTGCTGATGGCAAAAGATCGATAGAATTAGCTGAGAGACAGGCGAAACGAAGGACCCGCATGGTGTGGTGGTGAACGCGTTACTCCCCGGACAATAACGCGTTCGTTCCACACCGCAGACACCTGCCGTCCGGGGTTTTGCAAATATCTCAGCATCATTGAACTTTGAAGAGTATTCAAATATAAAAGATTGCTACCAATACCAATGCATACAACAGCCGTTTATTCGTGCTAGAGTAAATTTGCATTAGTTATGAAGTGAACGCTACTCGGTCTACAGTATAAAGCACGAAGTCTCTGGTAACCGGGCTTACCTGTTTCTATGACCTCTGGTTTTGTGCTTCTATGGTCTAAATCTTATTCTGGAACAGACTCTTCACTAGGGGATCTTCGTAAAATGTCTTATTTCCGATATTTTGGAAGAAAATCCACGCCTTTGAAAAATATCCGTGTTCAAAAGCGTGCATTTACAATTAAACAACCACTTTCCAAAGGATAAATTCTGCCGTCAGTGCGGATACCAGTTCATCATTGCTTGCCGAATTTGCCGGGAGAAAATCAGGTACCATGTTATGTTCCTTTCAATCATTATGTGTGTCCTAATACTATCCAGTATTTAGGCCGTACGATCGATTCTGCCCATCATGTGGAGCTCATCGCCTAATTATTTTTGACCAAATCAGGCACTGTGAGTAGGATGCGAGCGTTCTCACTTGTCAGCTCTGAAGAGATTCTCAACCAGTTTCTGCAGAGCTATGTGAGAACGAATTAACCAAGGATGTTCAGATCTCCACATCCACTCTTCACACGCCGCCCTTGCGACGGCAGTTGTGTTGGCAGCAGCTTGGTTGGCACTTCGTTATGCTTTAAGAAATAAATTAAAATAAATCTTAATGCCCACTGTCTGCTAAGAGGAAGTGTGTTTTCCCTGCATCAGTACAACATTCATAGCAATAATCTTATATTTACTTATTAAACGGTGGATGAAATAAGTTCAAGTTCATAGAGATCTTCAAAATAAAAACGGTATACACAACGATGTATCACACCAAAATCATCTATGCTTCTAAGCAGATCTAGTCCCAAACGATGAACTATTTACATAATAGATCATAGTGCATTTTGAAAAAAAAACATGAAAAACGAACAGCCCTATAAGGAATGTGTACATATACGTTCTAGGTAGTGGAAAAAAAATGCAAGAATTCATTTTTTGCAAAAAGGTTAGGTAGACCATCGTAAGTACATAGTTTGATGGAATCAATGCACCTGTTGAATAGCACTTAAATACGTTATCGGAATGTTGGACCGGTTCTACGGAGGTTCTTCATTTGGGTCGAAAAACTGACTCGTTATGGCATACAAGTGACGTAGCTTAGGCTGGCAACTTGGTAGATCTTTTACGAGTTTCACCACAGCGCGGAAAGCAGATACTGCTCGGTTCAATAACCAAGCTGGATTCTGTCTACTGTTCACAGTTTCCTAAAAACGAATACTTCGTTCTTATGTAGGCATAAAGTTGAAGTTTGAAAAACGCAACCACCTGGAAAAAATCAGGAATAATTCGTGGTTACAATTGAAAAATAAGAAAGTACTCTCTTACTAAGGAGAATTTAGTGGTCAAATCAGTTATCTAGTTCAAAGTGATTCATATTAACTCCACGACTTGAAGAACTCAAAACTTTTGCTCAGTAGTAGTTGTTACACTTTTCTATATTAATGCGAGTAGAGCTAAAAATGATTCATGTGCAAAAAAACCAAAGTAATGACATTCCTACATAAGAATTTTATTAGAACTACAGCACTAGATATAAATCGGCAATGAACTACGTGGAACCTGACCTAAAATGGTAATCTTCAACTCTTTATTAAACTTAAGACTGCATCCAAAGTACAAATTAGAGTTTATATAAAACTACAAATAAGAGACTCACTTCTATGAACCCATTGAAGGCAGAGCCAAACTCATTAAAACCACTGCGTATTTGAGGAGGAATCAATGGAAGCAATTCTTCGAGTGCCATTTTTAGATATGTGACCTGTAACTTGATAAACTTAAGTTCTCTATTTGTCTAGATTCGAATAAATTATACCTTCATAGCTGTATCGTGGTCCATAAGTGGGACTCTGAAGCAGCTACGGTACAGAGTATCACGATTCATTTGCATCATGGCCTCAAATCAACATTCGTATTATCTTGTATTGCTTCTATTAATTACTTAGAAGTGGATCCCGATAGTTACGCAGTCCAAATTGTCCAAAATTAATACAGCCTTCATGTACGTAAAATCGAAGCGTAGAAATTGAAACAAATCTGAGCACCACGCATACTCTAAGAGTTCAACAAGCCTCCCCGTGACCATACCTACCTTTGGAAATAAAGTCTAAATTCGCCATAAACTTAATACGAAGACCTCATACGAAAAATGTGATACTTTCAGGTTACGATGCCCTGTGAGAAATTCTAGCACAAAGGACGAAGAGTGACTAAAGACGCCTGGTCAACTCAAATGAATCAAGTGAGTACACATAAGACAAAATGTTGGAATTGCTTAATTCGAAATCCTACTTCAAACCCCTTTTTTGAGTTCTGCAACTTTATGAATGTAAATAGATGGACAAAAGATGAGTAAACAATGTTGTCACATATAATTTCTAAGAAGACAAGCTCAACAGTGCAGTAAAACCACCAGGAAAACTAAATGCGAGAAGAACACCTGGTTTCTCAAAAGTTGCTGATGGGCTTGCTGCATTGGTCCCATATTAGTCAATCCTAACGTCCCAACCATCAGTGCTGCACCAAAACCTGCTGATCGACCATACGCGCTCATTTCCTGAAGAACTAAGTTATTGTGCAAATGATAACATCGATGGGAAAACCAACTTAACGGCACCAAATTAACGGATCACGGTGAAAAATCTGTGGCAAGAAACAACCGTACAGTCAAGATCATTTTAATTTGTTGGGAACTTTCAATAACATACTTCCCAAACCGACCGTCATTTAACCTCGCTAGTAATAATGAATACCTCCGTCGACTGTTGGGCTAACACAGAGTTGACATACATGTTTATTTGGCTAACCTTACGACTTCTTTATCTTCCTCAGAGCCGATGATCCGAGTTGATGTTCATAGTTTTTCTTCTATCGTTGTGGTTTCTTTGCCGTCGTATCGAGACGGATCTTCTCCACCAAAACACCGCTCAAATGAGGCAGTCTCATCTGGCGATGCTCTTTTATACAGGGTGATGGTTGTTGATATGACTATCCGTTGACAGTAATTTGTTTTACAATGAATAATCCATCCCGTACCAGTCGGTACTATGTTAGCTAGCAAACAGCTAATAGCAAAACTGAGACCGACTCGGATCATCGACTCTGAGGAAGACGAAGATGTCGGAACGTCACCCGGATAAACATGTATATCAACCTCGTTTTAGCCTAACAACTGAAGGTTTTGAATAACATAAATAGCTCAGATGGTATCTTTTTCACAAATTCAACCTTGTCCCGCTCGTAATCATTCCAAGCTTCCTTTAACTCCTCTTCTGACAGCTTTTCTTCCTCTAAATGTGCAAATAAAGTGTCATGTTGGAAGTAATCGACGACCGCGTCTTTTTTCGATAGTAAAATTTCAGCAAGCAGACGATCCTTAACAATGGACAATTGATTTGATATTAAATCTAACAATTAAGTTTTACACACTGCTTGCACCTTTGGTGGAGCAAAGCTAGGTCTTTTGTTGGCATCGTTTGGATCTAACTCATTCGGATTGAACCTAAAAAACGTAAATGGTACGATGGAACTGCATACTGAACTACAGAAATAAGACAACAAAATTCACTTATAAAGTTCTTCAAGATCGTGACCGTCATAGTGCCGCTGGATTTGAGCTTCATCAACAACACGCATGGAAGTGGACTCTTTTGTGACTTGACGCTTGTAGATTCGTTCCTCCATAGTACCCTAAATACTTCCTCTCATAATCATAATGAAAATACGCGGAGATTTAAAAATAGACTGGAACTACACCCGCCTGTGCAATAAATCGGTAAATGTAAACTGGCTTTGTTTGACCAAATCGATATACACGGAAAAGTGATTGAGTATCGTGCGAAGGATTCCAGCACGCGTCGAATATTATAACTCGATTAGCAGCGACCATGTTGGTGCCAAGTGAACCCGCACGAGTAGAAATCAACATTAGTCTTAAACAAAAATATAATTAACAAAGAAAGTGGTTAAGTCTCAATTGACACTAATCTTTCACCGAGCACGTAAATTGAGGGGATTATTGAACTTCGTTTGAACCGTGTCCCTTTTTCCTGATTGCACTGACCCATCAATCACCATGTAATCTCGCCCTTCTTTCCAACCCCACTTCTGCAAAAGCATATCAACTGTTACTGAAAGAACGATATTCTAAACTATTATAAAAACACAAGATAGATGTACCTCTCCAACAGCTTTCACAGCTTCATGGCCATCGGCGAACCATTCTTTCGTTTCATCAAGATATTCCAACGTCCTTTTTATTAAACTCAATGACTCTAAGGACTGAGAGAAAACTAGCCTGGAGGAGGAAGATATCAGCTACGAAAAAAATGATACAGAAAACAATGCACCACGCACAACTTGTCGCCAATTTCTTCACACTTCTTAAGGATGTCTATAAGAAGCACCAATTTATTGCTTAGCGTGTAGTCATCTCGATCAGTTGGTGATATCAGCCCAGACTGAGCATACCTAAACAATTGATCGCCCTAAAAACAACGCTTCTAAATTACATCCAAGAAATGAACCACTTTTCCTTTCATAACTAAAACAGCGCTTTAATCTGCCCCGTAGGACATCTTGTGTTCAATTTTGCATTCTATTCATGCAAAATTTAACTTTAGAATACGATAAAATTAGTACTCCGGGAAAATCATACATACTCATGTTGTGGTACAATACTATTTCTGCAAGTTTGCCAATTACTAAGCTCGTTAGATCCTCTAGGTATTAAGAGAGCAGCGATTCTGTTATTGTGTTGAACATTTCAACATCACGTCGATCTTTGAATGTCATGTGTACCAATCGATTTCTAGAAAAGATAGCCAAGACAACTTACCACTCACTATACTCAGGTGGTGTTTCAACATCACGACCATCCAACTCTGGCTCTTCTCCTCCAAGTCGACGCGACTTTCTTACCTTATTCTTGTCAACTCCATCAGGAAATGTGTTTTCGTTGTCAGAGGAGCTAAAGTTTTAATATAAGAAATCTACAATCTACATCAATAACCTCGTAATTCCCACACATTACATAACTAAATGTGTATTTTAAAAATATGGTGCCTAACACACATTTAAAAAAAATAGAAATAAAGACTAATACAACCACACATATGCTGAGATACGAGAACTCTTAAACAGGTTCAATGTCGATTTGTACTCTCCAGATAATTTTCGTTCACGAGCGATTGCTGATAGCACCGTTAGGGTACAAAATTGGCTAAGAAAAAAGCAAACTACGGGGACGGTTGGTGTGGTGGATAGGATGTGAGTCCCTGAAAAGGATAAACGCGAGTTCAACGCGCACCACCTGAGGCTCCGAGTATTGCTACCTCAGCATTCTTGTGGTTGTATTTCACATAATACTTTGCAATGAAAAAAGAACAGCCAGCAAATAAGCCAGTAAATAAAAGTAAAACATAAAAAGGAATAGATAAAAAGGAACAAATATAATATTAAACATGAAGACTATAACAAGCGAGTAAAACTTACAGCAAGATTACATCACTATCGCTGGCTTCCGCGTTCGATTTCAGCTTCTTTTTGTTCGTTGACGACTTCATCAAGTCTTTGTCATCTTCGTCTTCGTAATCCGATTCACTACTACTTTCCGAACTGTCAACGACGAAATCTTCATCTTCTAACATTTCATCACGAAGAATACGCTAAAAAAATTACTGAAAATAAGTTGATTTCCTCTAATAGAAATTTTTTACCTCTCTTTCCTGCTTCTCTTCGTGAAGAATTAGCAAGTAAGGATGTGTCCACACACGAGCTAATACGTGGTAGTCCGGCAAAAGTCGCCTTGATAAGCGACCACCGTCATTCGCTACGCCTTCCAAAAAGGCCCTAAATCGAAAAAAATACTATTTAGAAAACAGAATATATACGTATATATATTAAGGGCGCGTGTGGCGCAGTGGTCGGAGGCGCCCTGACCTACACATGGAATCGATCCATGCGCCCATGACCCACCAAGCCTTCCATCCCTCCGGGGTCGGCAAATTGGCACCAGGCTTGTTTGGGAGGATAGCAGCACGGGCTCGATACATTGGTAGGCCACCGCGAGCCATTGTAAAGGCCAGGTATGCATTCAGTCACCTCCAAACGATGCTTAGTGAGGTCGAATGCATGGTGCATCTCCTCAGGGTTTGAACAACGCCGAGGGCTTATATATACATATATATATATATACATATACATGTATATATATGCATATATATATGGGTGCATCTGTGCATATAGGGAGAAAGAAAGAGAGGCTCAATACCTTTGAAATTTTAAACTGCTGGACATACCTATATAGATCACATTGTCGAGGTGTTAGTCTAACGTTGACTACATACTCTTGCTTAGGTGGAACTGCATCCATCAAAACTCTATAGTCCTTGCGCTAAAAAAAACATGAATAGATTAACGATACCTTATTAAAGAGGAAAATAGAAAACCTACATCAACGCATTTTTTAAGATGCTCGAACAGTACATGGCAACGCCGCTTCATAAAACGAACTTCAAGCGGTGTAGCATCTTTGAGCCGACCTCTGTGAATTTAACACTACGAAAATAACTCCACATCAAAAATAAAGTAGACCAACCTAGTAATTATATTCGCAAAACGGTTCGCGAATTCAGTTTTGGTCCCTAGTAAACCAGGCTTGACGAAGCTCACCATACAGTGATCTAAAATTCTGTTTAAAAAACTGTCAAAAGTTACGTCAGTAGTTACACTATAATGTAGGGTGCTCAAAATAGAGAACATTGCTAGAACAGAGGACATTTTCACTCGAAGTATAATTCTTAAAAAATAAAATCCACTGACATTCCATCAGATTGTTTTGGAGAGGCGTCCCAGTGAGGCAAATCCGTCTCTTTGTTCGAATCTTCACCATTGTTCTGGATAACGCTGACTCATCATTCTTCAGTTTATGTGCTTCATCACATACTACTATGTCTGGACCTACAATACATATATGTGTTGTATACACATGTGTACATACTCCCAGCGGTTTACGGCCTCGTCGTGGCTGGGAGGTGTTCCTGGGTGTCGGACTGCGATGTAGGGCGGGGTGATTGGTCTCCCAGCAAGGTCTCCCAAGCTGAGAAGGACTCCGGCGTTTCAACTAGGAAGACTAGCTAAGAGTAAACCAATACCACGATCCACCACCGTGCTGGTATCAAAGTCGCATGGCAGTAAATCTCCCTGTGATCCACAAGAGCTACGACTGCCTGTCGTGGTGACGACCTGGAGCAGATTTTGGCCAGGCTGTCCTCGGGATTCCTGGGAGAACCACTATGGCTTAACCACCAAATTTCCAAAAAATGGTGATTATGCTGGGACCCGCACAACTAGTGAAAACGGGCCGTTCAAGTACCAAGTATCAAGTATACACATTTATATATATGTAATGTATATATACATATACATATGTGCATGTACACATACAAAACACGTGTATGTACATGCACGCATATGTATGCATATATACACGCATATGTATGCATATATACACGTATGTGTATGCACATATACATATGTACACATGTATACATATATATACATGTATATATGGAACGGTGTGGATTATAGTGAACATACATTCACAACACTTCCATACCAGGATCTTGCAGATACTTCTTGAACTGCTGTTGCAACTTCAACAATCGTTTGTTTCTTCTCGAAACTTTTTTCTGTTGCCCTTTTTTCCTTTTGTCGTAGTCATCGTGTGTTAGTATACGAAACATATCGTATCCTATTATCATCACAGAAGGAACTGAAAGCACAACTATTGAGAACACACTGTAAAACAATAATAAAAAAAAAACAGGGAAATGTAGTAGTGTCGAAAAAACCTTGAAGACTAACTTTCACAATTATACCAATTTTCCAATGCTGAATGCCGATCATTGTATGTTTTAAACGAGTCCAATTCCATAACCTGTAAATGTATTCCAAAAATACAGAAGCTTCTTAAAACTGAAAAACGAAAGCACATACATCAATTACAGCGAGCTCTGGATCATTATCTTCAAGCCACTTTTGAAACTCCTTGAACCAGTTTATGACCACATTCTTGGGCACTACTATAAGCACTCTTTTTGCATACCTCTCAGTTTTTGGATGTGTCATCACAGTATGGAGAAATGTGATGACCTAAACATGACTAAAATGTAGATAGGTTGGAGATAAAACAGAAGCAAATCACTGATGTGAACCTGTAAAGTTTTCCCAAGTCCCATACAATGTGCTAAAATTCCTCCTCCTCCTTCTTCACCTAGTCTGTCAATGGACTCGAACACACAATCATACATGAATTGAATTCCTTCGGCTTGATGAGGCTTGAGAACGCGAACCTATACAACAACTATTTTACCTCCTAATCAACATCGTTTAAGACCTGTGAAGAATTCAAATGTGAGAACTAACAAGAGAAGCATGAACAGCGACTGGAACTGGTGGATCTCCATTTTTGTCTGGGTCGACAACAATAGACTATAACATGAAAACTCGACTAACAAATAGTAAACATAATAATAAGTTGCGTAAACCAGCACAAGAGAAAACTTTCATGAAATTGTAACATCGACATTTGAACTTTTTTCCTCATAACAACAGAAGTGGGGACCTGCCGTTGAGAATATCGGTCCCTTTCATGAAAAAAGTTCGATAAACTAAATAATGACATACCTTAAGTTTCTGGACGGAATTACTACCATTCACAAGTGCAGAAGCAATGTCTACACCCTCCATCAATTCAATGCCATTAAACTCCTTTTGTTTTTGTTCTAGGCGTTTACGACGTTCCTTAAAAAATAAGACTCACCTGTGTAATGAATATCTGAAATGGTGGCTACCAGAAACCTTTTCAGCTTTTTCCGCCTCTAATGTTTCCTGCTGTAGCTTATCTTTTGTCATGATTCTCTTAGGTGCGCGGCTTCCTCTACTTTTTTCATTCCTTGCAACATCATCGTCGGAATCTCCTTCAGTTATCTATAACGTGAAATATAATCGCATTTACTTTATTACATACTACAGTAGAGTAAAATGAATGGATAACTTATGCACTTTCGTTCTCTTAGACTTGTGTCTTCGAATTACCACTTCTTCTTCATCTGTTGCACTTTTTTCACTTTCAGCAGAACCCGTTGTATCCTCAATATTGGCTTCGGAGTCAGAAGCTATCAACTGCCGCTGCCTAATAAGTCAAAGATGCTCAACTGAGGCTTACACAACAATAAAATCTAACCACCTCTTCCGTTTCGCCTTCTTTGAAGGTTGTAGAGCCACCTCGCCACCACGTGAAAAACTATCAGTGTCACTAGAAGACGACTGCAGAAGCTTTCGAGCAGAAGATACAAGATTAGAAAGTTTTTTCTGAAAATCCTCACAACACTAGGAAATCTAAAAATTGCAGACTTTTGAACACACATCACCTACAGAAAACGAATCTTCCCTTTCATACAGTTGAAATAATCACCTCATTTTTTGATAACTTTCGACGTGATGCAATGTTATCCTCGTCGTCTGACGAATTCTCACCAAACCCAGAATTGACATGTGATCCACTATTCTCGATGGAACTGAAGCGTAGTAACAACCGCATAATATGAAAGTAACATTGGAAACTGTGTTACGTAAGTGACAACCTGTCCTGTGTCAAACCATTTTGTTTCTCCTGGTTGAGCTTCAATTTTCTAGAAAGAGAACCATCATTAGTTTTCCTTAAAACAGTACTTTTACTCCTCGAACGGGTGTTTCTCACAATATCGCCATTCTGAAAATTTTTTTTTTTGGTTTCTCGTAATCTCTCATGGTAAATAAAACTTTCACAAAAGTAGAAGCATCGAACGATGGTAACCTTTTTAACAATAGCAACAGCTTCCGTATATTCGCTAGAGGTGCTACTGCCTTCTTCAGCTGTCTCACGCATCTGTTCATTTAGAGCTGCATTCGCCTTGCGCAGAAGACGTTCAGGATCCTCATCAGATTCTTCGTCTTTTATTTTCCGTCTCTTTGATGACTGCTTCTGTAACGTTATAGTTCGAAACGATGAACGAGTCATTTCATGAACAAAAGAAAAGCTCTACACGCAGTTATCTTTTGAAGTCCAAAATTGCTAAATTAACCCTTTCGTTACGAAGCAGATTACGACGAAACTTCATTATTAGAATATATAGAGTTCAGAACTTTATAGATTTACAGAAGAAACATTTCTCTATCGTATTAACAGCTATATATTCTTCTACATCTAGATGTTTAGAGTTGAAAGTTTCAAAAACTGATAGAACATAACTCATAGAATTTCTAAACGGAAGAAAGGCAGCCGCAAACATAAAAAATGAGGAGAACTGGGTTGTCATGTTGGACGAAAATGCATTTATTCATACGATCTTGTAGTTGAGATATGAGTCTTGTGCAAAGTAGAAGAAATATATGTCATCGGCCCAAAAAAATCAGTTTTCCTAAGATAAAACTACAAAACTTTTGTCCTATAGGTAACTTGCAAATAGTTTTTAACGTAATTAGTGAAACTCACTAAGAACTGAGATATCTTGATTCAAATTCGAAAGCAGTAACTATTTTCGTATATGACTGCTGCAGAGATTCCGCTGTAGCATTAAGTGTTAAAGAATAATTAAGAGTTGCTTTACAAAGACAAAACGAGAATAATCCGAAACAACTAAAACTACGGACATACTCAACTACTACAGAATCTTCTCATACACCAGTTCACAGGATCATATGAATGCGGGCATTTCCGTTTCATGTATAAAAAAACACTAAGCAGTTCTACGAGGACTTTTTGGTACACATTTTACTGAGTACTGAGCTGATATATAAATGAACACCTTTTTCCCCTTTCTTAAAGATTTTCCGGCTAGTTGACGTCTTTCTTCCCGTATGAGTTCTTGCATCTCAAAATCCTCGTCACTTACAACGTCGATAGTACCGCCACTAAATAAAATTATGTTTATGACGAATTACATTACAAAACACCCTAACCCACTAATTGCTGCCAAGAACACTAATACTTACTCGGACACTTCATCACCGATTGTAATTACATCAACATCAACACCCGTCATATCTGACTTGTTCTCAAGCTTATCTGAACTCAAGATTTTCGTTAAACGAATCGATCCTTTGGAGAGATCCTACCTCCACTCAAGTGTCCTGTGTCTGTCTCATCAAAACTGGGCGCTTCAACCTTTAATTGCTGTAAAAAGCTAACTAGTAATCTATGAACAATACAAGGATTTCTTGTGTTACTAACAGAATTCGGAAAAACTGCGTTACTGTTATGGCTGTCGTCTTCGGTCCTAACAAATGGGAATGAATCGCTGTTTGATGACGATGCTGGCGCAGAAGTACCCTGTAAATCGGAAATCAAAGCACACAGTAATCAGACCTATACACTAAATTGTCAACCTTCCGATATGGTCACTAAGTCAAGTCACAGAAGACCAACAACAACAACACAAACGGGTTCCGCTGGCGAGTCAAATCGTTCGTCCCAGCTGGGCAGTTTGCCAGATGGGCTGAGATCAGACGGATGTGGGGCAGGAGATAGTGTGTGTGTGTGTGTGTGAGACGAGCGGGAACGGCGAACGAGAGACACACATCGGCAGACATGGACGAGTTTGCACAACTACTTCGCATAGTAGTTGGTTTTTTTAAAGAAAAAAGAAGGAAGGGACCCTCGTCATCTACTTACTATTGAATGGATCATCTCACAAGGTGTATATTGGCGTCGGTGAATGGGGACTCTCATCTTGCAAAGATTATGTGACACACTAGGTAAACAAAAGAGATGAACAACTCATTAACGGAAAGGTAAGAACAAAGTGTTGAACGAAAAAAGTACCAGTACCGTTTGAATTTGATGAGTAACCTTTTCTAGAACCAAACTACTGCAAGCACCATCAGCCCCGTCAATACATCCTCTGGCAGTCGCGTCGATATCAATTCTATCAATCCTATCTTCCTTAAAGTCCATATCATCGGTATTTTCTTCCTTCCTTCTCGGATAGGATCCCTGTGAGAATTCATCGTTGACTTCTGTCGTATTTTTATCACCGAAAAATTGTAAGCTGTGGTGCAGCATCGTCTGTACCTCATCTTCCCAAAACTAACCAATATTTCCATCGAAGCGTCTACAAAAAAGAACGCTGTTAATAGAACTCGTGCATAATGCTGAGATATTTGCAAAACTCCGGGGAACGAACGCGCTATTGTCCTTACCGTAGAGTAGTGCAGTTCACCACCACACCATCCGGGTCCTTCGTTTTGCTCCGGTAAGGACAATAACGCATTCGTTCCCCACCGCATACACGCCTGCGGTCCGGAGTTTTGCAAATATCTCAGCATTATATACGAGTTATATTTGGCAACATACTCTGCCATTAAAAAGAAAAAGGCAGTAAATAAAAGGGTTAAGGCTGTTAATAGATTTCAAGTAGTTGTTACGAAGATTTTCACCATCACTGATAAAATTATTTTGAACGGCATTTCTATATCAAATTTTGGGAATTTCTATCGATTCCGAGTATTGTGAATAGATATCTACCTTCGTTTTATAACTTTTTACTTCGTTATACTTACTATTGAGCAACCGATCTTGCAATTGAGAGTCGTTGCAAAAAATTAGAACGTCTATGGAAAACCTATTCGCCTAAGTGTTACGTGGACACAGAAAACGTTTAAAAAAACGACTTCATTCGAGGTTTCCATAAACTACATAGAAATCCGAGTCCATTGTAGACTAGACCAAAAACTTCAACAATAAGTACGTTAATCCGTACTTTATAGGGATATCTGCACATAATACAAAGACCCTCCCGGTGAGATGAGAGGTTTGGTGAGCACATGGTCGAATCCGTATCGTGTTCTTGATGAACTGCATCACCAGCATTACCTTGCCCGCACCTTACTGCTGTATTATATTACATTGTTTGCAGTGGCGCGGGTAGTGTAATGGAAATGATGCCATTTAACACGTACAAAATCTTGATTCGACCCCGTGCCAGGCCAACCAGTTCTCTCATCTATCTGATTTCGGGAATTTAGTAACAGGTGTATCTGGAAAGCTCGGATGGACCCACAAGACTCAGTAACGCTCTAGCACGGCTATCCGAAAATTCTATGTAAAATCGATGCAGCGAACATTCAAGGACATTCACCAAAGGGGTCAAAAATCCTCAAGCGGCAGCCGAAAGCGCACGCAAAATCGAGGATTTTCGCTGATGATGAATGCAAGAAAACGAATGTAAGAAGTGCCAGGATCCACAGAGTGCGACACATGTGATGTCGGGTCACGAAAAGTAATATTAAAAATTCCGTCGGGTTGGACTCGGCACTGTGTAACCAAGTTCGTTGGAACATAAGTAATAAAAATATGGCTATCCAGTATTATGTCAGCTATTCGTTCAAAGACTATGTGAACAGAGGAAAACATAAAAATTGACTCTGTAAAGCTTAGGTCTTTGGGAACCGTCATATACGTGGAATTTACGTACGTTATTCTCGTCTTCATACCCAGATGTGATACTGTCACGTTCTAGAGTAGGATGACCATCGACACCATCGTCCGAATTGGCTGAACCGATATCACCGTCCAAGTACACCCTGAAGAAACAATTTCGACACAATATTGATTCACACAACTATACATGCCTACATATCTCAGCCAAAAAGAAAAGAATGTCTTGTTAATAATTAGCACGTTAATAACTGGTACAACAACCATTATGAAAGGATTGAGAAGGGCGATTTGAAAAAGACGACCAAAGCTACCTTGACGACTGTATGGTTTGCCTATTGATTGCCCTGTGCAAGCGAAAACTCATTCATTGTACGTACCAAAGTCACTTGAAAAATCGAATCAATCACAATTCTGGCACGGATTCTGCTGATTAGTGATAAGCAATCATGTGTGAGATACTTCAGTCCACCTTTTCAATCCTTATTCGACTAAGAGATAGTGTTATAAACCACTACAATACTGTTTTTATCGTTGCCCTATGAAAATTGGTCTGACACGGAAACACCAACCCGTCAAAGCTATTCACCGTCGCACTGGAATAGTGAAGACGCGCTACTAAAACGAGTAGAGCATGATGCAAAACTATTATCAAATACTAGTTATGACGATGATATCGTGAAGAATCTGAGAACCCAAACAACTAGACGAGACGAAGGATAAAACAGCAAATACATCGAGTAAAAAACCCGGTTCGTGTTAAATCATTGCCCATGTGAGACTGAATCCAAGTGGAGATTTCTGGC